AAAGAATGTTGACAACTGATTACCGCTAGATGAGGAACAGCTGACCTTCCTAAAACAAAGACCTCTAGATAGGCTGACTAGATTCACCGGATAGACAAGTACCAGGGAACAGCTGGGGTGCTGACCACACAGTACACAGTAGCAGGGAAGACAGAGTATAAGGGCTCTAGTGCCAGGGGGAGTCTATGGGAGGGTGCCACCTGGGAAGTGGATGTATAGATGAATAAGATTGTTTTGGATGTTCTGTGTGTCATACACAAAAAAATCAACAAATTTTAAAAAAATGAGTTATAATTGAGGATGAAGCATAAAAAATTATGTCATGTGAAGTAGTAGAGGTGACAAACATTACCATTTAAATCTACTCAATGACTTTATATCTATACACAGGTGCCAAGGATCCGAGTGCAACCAACCATGACTAGTAATAATCAGATACATACCGATTAGAGATGCATGTGCCAACATCTAAGTGTTATTAGCAAAAACAATGAGTATTTCTGTAAGAAACTATATTTTAAAATTTGTTGATTATCTTTTTTAAAGGTTAAAAACTCATTCAATTTTATGTCTTACAGGGTTTGTACTGAGCTCAATATTGTATAACTGTATTAATTCAACTGTGAAGCTAAAAATTTGCAGCCAATTTTGAAAGAGATGCATCTTTGCTCTGGAGTGGAAATTGTTATTGTATATGTTAAAGCTGTAATGAAATGCTTCCTCTAAAATATATGTGTATATATATATATATATGTATATATATATATTTTAAAGAATGGTTGTTAACTGGCAGGTCCTCTGTAAGAGCAGCCAGTGCTCTTAACCACTGAGCCATCTCTCCAGCCTCCTAGTGATTTTCTTTTTAAATGAGACTCATATCAGCAACTCAGTAATTTTTTTTTTTTGGTCTTTTTGAAACAGGGTCTCCGTGTAGCCCCAGCTGTCCTGGAACTCATTATGTAGACCAGGCTGGCCTTGAACTCACAGAGATCTGCCTGCCTCTGCTTCCTGAGTGCTGGGGTTAAAGGCATGCACCACCACACCTGGCTTAAAATTATTTTTTATTATTTTTTATTATATTGTGTGTGTGTGTGTGTGCATGTGGGTGTGTGCACGCACACCCCTGTGGAGGTCACAGAACAACTTTCAGGAGTCATTTCTCTCCTTCATGTGAGTGCTGGAAATCAAACTCAGGTCATCAGGCTTGGTGGTAAGCTCCTTTACCCACTGAGCCATCTCAGCAGCCCTCAAGCAGCAAGGTTTAAAATCAAATATTCTGATTAAAAAAGCAACTATGTTTCCATAAGAGCAGAAACCTTTGTAGCTAAAGGAAAAATGCTGCAATTCATCTCCTGCGGTAGTCTCAAATCTAAACTCATAGATTTAGGACTGTTCTTTTTTTTAATTATTTATTCATTTTTTTATGTGTGTGAGGGTTTTGCCTGCACATATGTAAGAGACTAGACGAGAATCCCATCCCTTGGAACTGGAGTTACAGATGATTGTTAGCCTCCATGTAGGTTGCTGGGAACCCAGGTTCTTGGCAATAGCAGCCAGTGCTCTTAACTGCTGAGCCATCTCTCCAGCCATGTTTTATCTTACTTTAAACTGACAGTAATTGCATGTATTTATGTGGCATAGTGCAATATTTCAGTACATGCTTACTTTGTGGAATGATCAAAGCAGACTAACTCACAAGTTCATCACCTCCAGTATTTATCATTTCCGTGTAGTAAGAATGTTCAGGATCCTCTTCTCTTACTATTTAGCAATAGAGTATACATTATCATTAACTATAATCACTGCCCTGCGCACTGGAACACTAGAGCTTTCCTATCCTGTGTTTCTGTACTCTTTGACCAGAACTTCTCCATTCCCTGTGCTCCCACAGACCCTATGCCCCCACTCCAGCCTCCAGACACAGATTCTAGTCTACTTCTGTGAGGCTGACTTAGACTGCACATGCAAATGCAGTCACATGGCCTTGGCCCCTCTGTGCCTGGTACACAACATAATGTTTTCTAGATTCATCCACGTTGTCACAAATTATGGAATTGGTTTGTGGAGGCCCAGTAGAATTCATATATATGTGTGTGTGTGTATATAGATGCCACATTTCTATATTTTTATTTTATGTGTATGAGTATATTGCTTGCATGTAGGTAGGTGCACCATGTAGTACAATGCCTGTGGAGGTCAGAAAAGGGCATTGGATCCCCTGGCACTGGAGTTATGGATGGTTGTTAGCTCCCATGTAGGTTCTGGGAGTCAAACCTAGGTCCTCTGCAAGAACAGCCAGTGTTCTTAACCCCTGAGCCATTTTTCTAGCCCCAGATGGCACTTTTTTTTTAGAGCTGTTTATCTACTAATGGATGGTTAGGTTGTTTCCGTAGCTTGGCTACTGTGGATAAAGCAGTGAACATGGGCATGCAGCATACTGATGTTGATTCATTTGTGTGTGTTTATGCAGAGAGAGAGAGAGAGAGAGAGAGAGAGAGAGAGAGAGAGAGAGATTTAAGAAAATCTTCCTTTATCTCTTACAACCTTGGGCTGAGTGCATCTCTGTATGATGTAGTGGTAAGCTGCTCATTCATAGATGGTTAGCAAGAGCACAGGCACACACACCACTTACACTTGAAGGTAGTTAAAAAGGCTCTTACTAACAGGCTATAAGATAACTAACAGAGAGGCATTCCTTGACCTTTTATTACCCATCAATAGGTGAGGTTGGGTAGGATGCCTGGAGAAAGCCCTATAGGAAGGGAGTCCACTTCCATCTTCTTCTCAGATCTATAGGCAAATTGGAAAAGGAACTGGGGCCAAGTAATGTGCTCTGTTCCAATAGGAGCCAGGGAAGTATCTTCCTAGAGAACCCTGTGATGAACTAGGAGACACAGGTCTAAAGCCGTCAATATTGGACAGGATCCTGGCGGGTCTTCAAGGCACTTACTTCAATCCTACTGTCTCACTGACCCTTCACCAACATGAGGAGGAGGAGTGGGTACTAAGCTGTGTGTGTCTATTCCCATAGTGATGTGTGGTGATTCTGCTCCTCCTTAAAGATAGATAGAGTCTGCACATTGACACTTAGTAGTAGCTATGGTTTAGTGTCAAACATCCTCCTTGAGCTCATATGTTTGAACACTTGGTCCCCAGCTGGTGGCACTGTTTTGAGAGGTCTTGGAAACTTTAGGAAGTGGGTCTAGCTGGAGAGAAAGATGCAGAACTAGGATTGCTGGATTACATGGTAGTTCTAATTTAGTGTTAAGTAGCCTCCATCCTGTTTCTCCATTGCTCTGCTAATCTACAAGCACCATCCTACTTTCCTTGCTGTTGCTGTGAAAACACTGACCAAAAGAAGCTTAGGGAGAAAAGGATGCCATGATACAATCCAGGCTGGCCTCGAATCCACAGTGATCCTCCTGCCTCAGCCTCATAAATCTTGGGATTGTAGGAGTGTGCTACCACACCCAGCCAACTGGCATTAAGGTTTATCAGTTCAGAGCCAAGCTCGTTTCACTCACCTACATAAGCCCTCAAAATTGTGGGATTGTTTTGAAGCAATTCATGAAATCAAATTAGGGCAGAAACTCTCTATTAATGTAACGTAGCACATGTATTTTATCAATCATAAAATAGACATGTTTTCACATTTCTGATATTTGTACCCATTATGTAATCCATATTTTAATTTTAAGCATTTTTTTTCTTTCTAGATAGTAAATAGTGGTGCAACTTAAAATTTATTTTATTTCTAACTTATGTGTATGTGCTTACTGGTGCTCACAAGGGCCCGAAGAGGGCATCAGACCTTCCTGGAGCTGGAGTTACAGGCAGTTGTGAACTGCCCATTGTGGATGCTGGGAACCAAACCCTGGGTCCTCTACAGGAGCAGTATGTGCTCTTAACCGCTGAACTATCTTTCCATCCCAACTTGAAATTTATTAGTAGGAATGGTGAATTAAAAACAACCCCTCTTCTGATCTCTGTGAAGTCCTGTTAGACATACACAGAATTTAATTTTTTTTAATCTTTAAAAAAAAGCATTTTACAGTAAGTTCTAGTGAACACTGGAGACTCCTTGGGATGCATGCATCATGGAAAAAAATTAAAAATGATTTTAAGTCTGCCACACAGACTTAATGTCACTGATGGGCACAAGCAGTTGGAAAGGGATGTTGTGGGCACTGAAGACACGAGAGATGAGTGTGGCTTTGGTCGTGAGCTTAAAGCGATAGAGGGACTGCCACGGAAACATGTATGGTGAGACCTAGTCTGAGACGTTTAAGAGGAGGGTGGGGAAGCGAGCCAGTGTGTAGAACGCAGCATATTTGCAAGGACTCCCAGGCCCTCTGAGTCTCACCACAGTCCCTGCCTTCCTCTATTGTTCCAGGTCATCTACACAGAACGATTTGAAAACAAACAGGAGCATGACTCTTCGTCCAAAAGCCTGATCCGCTGCTCCTACCTGGGCAGCAGGGACATGAGCCAAAGCACCTATGAGGAGCAAGCGCCTCACATGGCGTCCTCCACATCCCAGAGAAATCAAGGCCAGAGCTACAAGGACACAAAGAAATCCTGGCTGTCTAATAACCCCTCGAGAAACGGCTCAGGTGCACCGGAAGCCGCAGAAAGCCTGGTGCAGAGCAAATCTATCATCCTCCCGCACTCGGACTCAGGTGCCCAGACCAGCACCCACACCATCATTCTGGATTTCTCCATGGTGCACTATGTGGATTCTCGGGCTTTAGTTATATTAAGGCAGGCAAGTACCAGGGAGGCCCTTGCCACAGGCTCCGATCCCCTCCCACCACGCACATCCCCCACACTGCATCTCAGTGCAATCCTGTGAGTCAGGGATGGCCAGAGGCGGCACACCGAAGGTCATTTATAGTCAAATCAGAATAAAAGGAAAACAAACCACCTCTGGTTTATTAGAACTAGAGTCGGATTCATAGGCACAGATCACGTATTGTTTCTCAAGGAACTGGAAAAAAGAGGGAACTTCTTAACAGAGCTCTCAGGACAGCTGTAGGTCTTCTCAGGGACCAGGGCCCGGAAATACGGTCACCAAAATTTCCCCCTGACAGCTGCTCCCAGACAGGCACTGGGTATCCAGAACTCAGGCCAGAAGAAATGATACCTCAAGTCTGGCCTATCTGGCCAGTACCTGCAGGGTTCCCGGGAACAGGCTTTAGTTTCAAAAGTCTGAGCTTCAGGCTAGGATGTGGGGCCAAGCATCAGAACATCCAGGCTTTTCACCACTTCTGCTCCAGAGAACAGTGCTCATTGTGCCTCTCTGACCTCCAGTCTGCTCTTTGACATCACACATCCACACCTGGCCTTCACCAAGGGCTTTCTGATCCTCCCTGTGGAGGCTTCTTTGCCTAAGAGCTGTAAGACACAGGGCCTACTGCTATGTCCACAGTCTTCTTTATTCCATGTACACCTACAGAAGGAAATCATTGTGCTTTGCTTATTTTAAAAGTTAAAAAAAAGAGAAATTAAGCCCACTTTAATCCATTCTTACTGGAGGTAAGCACCTAGTTTACACTGCTTTTTTTGTTATTTAATTTCTTTTTGTTTTACATGTTTGAGTGTTTTGCCTACATGTATATAAGGGTACCTGTGTTGTGCAATGCCCGAGGATGTCAGAAGAGGGTGTCAGATCCTCTGGAACTGCAGTTACGGACAATTGTTAGCCACCGTGTGGGTGCTGGGAATTGAACCCAGGTCCTCTGAAAGGGCAGCCAGTGCTGTTAACCACTGAGAAGTCTTTCCAGCCCCAGCAAACCTTCTCCTCATAGAAACAGTGCCCCTGTCGCTCCCCACCCACCATGAGATGGTCTGGGTATCTTTTGTGTCCCAGGGGCTTTAGACATTCCTGGCACACAGAAGCCCTGTCACCCAGTGTTTGTAGCCTTGGGAAGCAGAGGCACTGATTCCCCAGCTGCTGGGTGGCCAGCAGGGTATTGAACCCCCCGGCTAGCCTTCTGGTGCGCACACAGCTCTCTGACACCTGCTGTCTCTCTCCCTGCAGATGTGCAACGCTTTCCACAATGCCAACATCCTGGTGCTCATTGCTGGGTGTCACAGTGAGTACCCTTCACCCCTGAGAGGGCTGTGTCTTGCACCCCAGGGGCCCTGCTCCTCTGGCACTGATACCTGTGTGTTCTGGGTTCGGTTTGTAGCCTCTGTGGTCAGGTCATTTGAGAAAAATGACTTCTTTGATGATGGCATCACCAAGGCCCAGCTGTTCCTCAGACTCCATGACGCCGTGCTGTTTGCCTTGTCAAGGAGAATTTCTGAGGCCTCCGAGTTAAGCCTGGACGAAACAGAGACGGTGATCCAGGAAACCTACTCAGACTCAGAAAAGGTTGTATGATGTGGGACCTTGGAGCTGGGGGAGAAGGGGGCAGCCCAGTTACCTGATCAGAGGTAGACCATGTCCTGCAAGGACTTTACTGTGCCTGTGCCAGAGTCGGAGTTGCTGAGCATACTCTTAGACCAACTGGTAAACAGCAGAGATCTGAGCCTTAAGGATCTCCACTACCACAACTTCAGGGTTGTGAAGCCCAACAAGAGTGCACCCAACCCAGCAGAGGCCTGGGGCACCCTTGTACATCCATCATGACTAGTGCCACCAATTTCTAGACATTTGACACACCCCCTTTAGACAAACTTTGACAGCCTACCCTGCCTCAACCTTTGTGGGTAATAAGCCTGATGAGCTAGAGGAAATGGCTCTCTGTCCTTCCAGGACTTTGGATATTATTTACATTGTGAGTAATCTAAGGTTCATTCGACACAATGTAAAGGAGAAAGACTCATGAGTCAGCAGTTTGAACCGTTTATTAAGACTGCTCTATTCACTCTAATACTAAAGACCCGGGTCTGCCTGGGAATTCTCAGATCGATCTCTTTGGGCTTCCACAGACAAGGAAATTAAAACAGAGATAGGCATCAAATGTTATCTAATGATAGAAATTATTTTCAGTCAACTCTGAGAAGCTTTTGACTTATTAGATTTTAATAATGGTTGAGTTTTTATAACAACCAAGGTGATACCACAATAACGTGTTTTGAAACATTCCAAGTGAAAAATATACAAGCTTGTAGAACACAGCTCATTTTTCCTTTCTCCTTCCTTCCCCTCCGTTGCCTTTCCTTTCCCTCTCTTCCCCTCCTCTCCCCTCCCTTCCCCTTCCCTTCCACTCCTCATTTCAGTATATAATGTAAATACAACATTTACCTATATGTAATCATTTTGAGCTTCACCATCTGTCTTAATGCATTAGTGTTGCTATATGATTGGTTAATTTATAAATAATAGAAATTTGTGTCTCACCATTCTGGAGACATAGATGTTTAAGATTGAGGTACCAGCAGGTTCTGTGTCTGGTGAGGGCTTGTTCCATCATTGGTTCATGTGGCAGAAGGGAGGAGTCCCTCCAGCCCTCTTAGAACATGAGGGCAGATCCCTCATGACTCCATTGCTCTTCCTTTTCACTCCCACCACAGTGGGCTTTAAATTTCAACATGCATTTTGAAGTCTTCACATTCAAACAATAGTACTGTCTTACCAGCTGTTGAATGAGCCTTTTCCCCTCGCTGGTTTGATGAAGGGTTTTCATAAAAGAATTATATCATTATGAAAATGAAAGCCTATTTGTAGCTTAGGAGTTTGTTGCTTCATTGTTCTGCTTAGCTTTAGTGCCACACCATTTTGATTAGCACTGCTTTATAATGCATTTTAACATTTGGTCAAGAAGTCTTGTGAAAGCATTCTGTTTCAAATTTTCCTAACTCTGGGGCTAGAGAGGTGGCTCAGTGATTCAGAGCTGGTACTGCTCTTACAGAGGATCTAAGCTCAGTTCCCAACACCCATGTTGGGTGGCTCACAACTGCCTGTAACTCCAGCTCCAGGGAATCTGACATCCTTTTTTGGGCTCTGTGGGCACTGGCTCACATGTACATGCGCATACATACACATAAAGAGTTAGATTTTTAAAAAATTTTAATATTGGAGCTGGAGAGATGGCTCAGCAGTTAAGAGCACTGATTGCTCTTGCAGAGGACCCAGATTTGATTCCCAGCACCCACATGGCGGCTACGAACCATCCTTAACTCCAGTTCCAGGGGAATCCGAAGCCCTCTCCTGACCTCTGCGGCATTGCACAACATGGGTGCACTCACATACATGCAGGCAATAACACTCATGCACATAAAATAAAAACAATAAATAATTTTTTTTAAATTTAAGCCAGACGTGGTGGTGCACACCTTTTATCCCAGCACTCAGGAGGCAGAGGCAGGCAGATCTCTGTGAGTTCAAGGCCAGCCTGGTCTACATAGTGAGTTCCAGGACAACTGGGGCTACAGGGAGACCCTGTCTCAAAAAGACCGAAAAAAAAATTTTTAATCTTTATTACCAATTTATTCTTCCAAACCAAGTTTTGAATCTTTGTCAAAAGGTTCCATCCTTTCCTCTGAAACAAAAAGAAACACCATTGAAATTTTCTCTGGAATTACAGTGAAATACAGAATAAACTGAGAATTTATACTGGAATCTTTCCAGAATTTCTTCTTCCTGTCCAGGAATGTGGATTATCAGTACATTTATTCAATATTGTAACATTTCATTGAGAATAAGGTTTATTTTTTGTTTGGATGGTTTTTTTTCGGGGGGAGGAATTGGTCTTTTTGAAGCAGGGTCTCCCTGTAGCCCCAGCTGGCCTGGAACTCCACTATGTAGACCAGACTGGCCTTGAACTCAGAGATCCGCCTGCCCCTGCCTCCCAAATGCTGGGATTAAAGGCGTGTGCCACCACCCCTGGCCTTGTTTTGCAGTTTTATAACAAAAAAATTATTTTATAAAATAAGTTTTTATAGTTCAGGAATGGTGGTTCACACTTGTTTTTTGTTTTGTTTTGTTTTGTTGGTTTGGGGTGGTATTGAGACAGGATCTCCCTGTAGTCCCACCTAGCCTGGAACTCTCTATGTAGACCAGGCTGGGAGATCTACCTGCCTCTGCCTCTGCCTCCAGAGTGATGGGATCAAAGGCATGCACCACCACACCCAGCTGGTGGTCACACTTATAATTCTACCAACTCAAGAAGCTGAGGCAGGAGGATGACTTGAACTCAAAAATTCATGTAGCAGGACTCTCCTCCCCCATGTCACACTAAAAGCAACAACAGTAAAAATAAATTTTCTTTCGCGTTTAGTGCTCCATTGGACAACTCAAGACAGAAGGGGGACATTGATGTTTAGAAGTAATTTGGCTGCCTCTGAATTGTCACTAGTCCTGAGAGGTTTCATTGTTAATTCTATTAGGTTTTCTTTATTTAAAAAAAAAAATTATGGTACTGGAGAGATGGCTCGGCGGTTAAGAACACTGGCTGTTCTTGCAGAAGACCCAGTACCCATATGACATCTAACAACTGTCTGTAACTCCAGTGCCAGGGGATCCGGCAGCCTCTCTCTCCTCCACAGCAGGCATTGTACGACATGGGTGTACTTACCTACATGCAGAGAATACACTCATATGCATAAAAATAATAAATAAAATATTTTTTAAAAGTTTACAGGGCTAGCAAAATAGCTCAGCAGGTAAAGGATCCTGCAGCCAATCCTGATGACCTGAGCACAAGCCCCAGGACTCACAATGGAAGGAGAGAACCAACTCTCACAAGTTACCCTCTGACACACACACACACACACACACACACACACACACACAAAGTAAATAAAGGTAATAAAAATTCTTAATTGCTAGAGAATAATATGCCTGTCTCGTCTATGTTAGAATTCTTATTCAATATTATGTACTATTACATAAGTTAGTGTTTCCTGAACAACTTCAGCAAGTCTTGCCCAGTGAGTCTATACTCAGGCTTATGGTAACAGTTGGCTTTCAGTAGACATTATTGACTATAGTTGTTTTGTTTTGTTTTGTTTTGGTCTTTTTGAGACAGGGTCTCCCTGTAGCCCCAGCTGTCCTGGAACTCACTATGTAGACCAGACTGGCCTTGAACTCACAGAGATCCACCTGTCTCTGCCTCCTGAGTGCTGGGATTAAAGGCGTGCACCACCAAGCCCGGCTGACTATAGTTTTTAGAAGCGATTCTCTACTAACATTTCCTTTCGGGGATTATATGCAGAATTGGAACTGAATATGACTTTTTCTCCCTGGCATTTAAGATACAGAAGATTAGGAAAGGAGCAAGTTTTATTTTGTTATGTGTTAAACTCAAGTTGTCCACTAAACAAGGAGTAGTGAGGCCCACGGCGGAGTGGGTGTGAGGACCTACAGATCAGAGGAAGGTTTATAACCCGAGAATCATTGTCATATAAACAGCAACAAAAATTAGGGACCTATGTAAAATTACCCACAGGGAGACTATGGCTGGGGAAGAGGGCGCCAAGATGGAGGTCCAGGACATGCTGGCATTAAAAACCCAGTGGACACGGGACACAGCAAAGACATCAAGAAAGAATAGCTAGGAAGAGAGAAGGAAATGCAGAAGAGTGTCACGTGATGAAAGAGACACTGTAGGAAGGGGGAAGACATGCATTTTGTGGAATGCTCAGCCTTTGAGGCTGATTCACTCTGTCTTGGGGACACCTACTACTTGACAGGCTCAGAGGTGCTTGGTATTGGGGACACCTAGAATGAAGCTCTGTTGTATCACAAAGAAGCTTAGAGCCAGTTGAAGGGTAGATTTGTAAATAAATGAGGGGATGACAGCAGTGTGTGAGGAGTAGGTGGAGCACAGAGGAAGCTGGGAGGCTGGCCGGCCGTCTTTGTTCTGCATCTAGAATGAAGAATAAATGTATATGGATGGTTTGGAGATGGACAAGGCAGGCAAAAGGAATGGCAGGAGAAAGGTAAGCAGCAGTCAGGCTACAACTGAGGGAGGGTATCACTGCAGAGAATGCCGGCAAACGTGGCAAGAGTTCAGGCTACATGCAAGCTCAGACGGCCTGTCAAGGATTGGGTTGGGGGTTGGTAAGCAAGATCAAGAAGACAAGATGCTTCATGAAATCGAGTCTAGCTAGAAAAGCCAGAGAGGCCAGGCGTCAGAGGTTGAATGAACCCAAAGAACAGTGAATAGCTAAGAAACCAGAGGAGAGCCATAAATGTTTTCTACTTTGCCAGGAACCCATAGTTCTAGTACCTTAAGTCCTGTTGTGTTCTGAAATTCCTTGACTGCTCAGAAGTAAAATTCATTGGCCATTTTTAACTGTCTAACTGTGTCTGTTTCAGAATGGCACTCTGAGACATAAAAAGAATGCCGGCGTTGTAGAGGGCCCCCAGCACCTAAGTCCGAGCTTCGTCAAGGCTCAAGGGTCAGCAGATGAGGTTTCGGACTTTGACCTGGAGCTGGAGCCCATGCTGGATTCTGACCAGGACGGGCTGGGTCTCAACCTGGACCTAGACCTGAACTTGGACAGCGAGTCAGAGCTGGAACCTGAATCTGAGCTGAAGTCTGAGGTCCCTGCAGAGACTGAGCTGGAGCCAGACACAGAGCTTGAACCAGATCCCCCAAGAGAGCCGGAGATAGATGATGAGCCAGAGCCAGGGCACAGGCCGGAGCCTAGATCCAGGATGAGGGCTCACAGCCCTTGGCGGTCCTACAGGTCCACCTACCACTTTGCGACTGCAAGCTCCCAGTCTCAGACACGATCACCAGAGAGGAGACCACCACACACTCATTCAAACTCACCCCAGTGCACCAGCAACGAAGGCGCTCCTTGGGCGAGCTAGAAACAGTGCAGAACTCATCTCAGCCAGTCCTTCCTGCCCAAAAGACATTGCTTGGTCACAAGACCTAGACTGGGTACAAGTCAGCAGTCCTGGCATTATGACCCCTTCACCTGCTGCCTTCTTCCTGACAGGGAGTCAGGGAGTCACACACCCATCACACCCCCACGATATAAGACTCAAAGTCAACAGTTGTCCTGAGTTCCTTCACCAAGCTCCCCTGATCTCCCCTTCACACAGCCCACATCTGGGGTCTGTGACAGACCATCTCTAACTTCTTCCTCTCATCTCTGCTCCCCTTTCTCCAAAGAGATGAGGCTCCAATAAATTATATACCTCTACTTGGAGTTACCTTCCCTGTACCTTCTCTGTCTTCCATATCCCTGAGGAAATATCAAGGGAGGTGGGGAGTCCAGAAGAGACTGGCCATAGCAGAGGAAGGTAATTAGACCAAAGAAAACTTGGTGGTATTTGGAATTTACATGAAAGATTTTAAGTATCTGCACAGAGGAAACAGGCAGGTAGGTGTGGGGGACCCAGGTGGAAGGCAAGCCAGGCTCATAGCCTGGAGCACCAGAGCCTCCACCCACTGTCCTGGGTTCATTGGCCAATCAACTGTGGCAACTGAGCATGGTGATGTTACCTCTCTCATCCTGGCTTCAGGCTCAGGCTTATCTACAGCCAATTTCTTTTCCCAGTCAGCCTGGAATCAGCAGTCCTACAGGGCCACGCCTAGTTCAAAATCTGTGACAGATACAAGCCCCCCTAGCACTAGGAAAAACCTGTCATTACCTGTTTTGCCCAAATCCATTCAAACCATTATTTCTCACAATAAAAATATCTAGTCATAAGTGAAGCTTAGAAGAAAAATACAGAGCCCTGGCCACAGACACAAGAAACTTTAGGTCTTATTTCCAACTAATAAATAGGATCCTTGTGCTTAAGTTTTCAGTCTCTCTTGTTTGTTAGGTGAAAGAAATTAAAATGTAGCTGTCTGGGGCTGAGGAGATGGTTCAATAGAGAAAGAACCTTGCTGTGCAGGCGTGGTGGCCTGAATTGGTGTATACAAAGCTACACAAGGCCTCATGTACCTGTAAACAGTACTGAGAGGCAGAGACAGGAGGATCACTGGGGTTCACTGGGCTAGACACCAGCCTAGCCAAAAAATGGTGAGCTCCAGATTCAGTGAGAGACTCTGTGTTTTAGTTTACTTGCTGTTGCTGTGATAAAACATCATTTAAGTAAACATTCCTTACTAACTAGTAAGGAAGAAAGGGTTTATTTGGTCTGTAGTTCACAATCTGTCATTGAGGGAAGGCTCGGCAGTAACCTGGAGGCAGGAACTGAAGCAGAGACCATGGAGGAATACTGCTTACCAGTTTGCTTTCCTTGGCCTGCTCAGCTACCTTTCTTACATAGGCCCAGGCCCACTTGCCCAGTGACCACACCACTCACAGTGGGCTGGGCCCTCCTGCATTAATTAGCCATCAAGACAGTCCCCCACAGACATACCCACAGGCCAGTCTGATAGAGGAAATTCCTCAGTTGAGGTTCCCTCTTCCCAGGTGCGTCAGGTGCACAACTGAAGCTAACTAGGACAGTGTTCTTCAAGGGAAGAAGGTGGAGACCTCTGCATGTGTGTGCATAGGCATGTGCATTTACATACAGCACACACAGACACAAATACAGGTGCCTTATCAAAGAGACAACCTAAGTTTCTCTCTCTCCCTCTCTCCCCCTGGCTGGCATTAAATTCAGAACTCAGAGCCTGCCATGCCTTTACTGGGATTAAAGTCATGGACCATGTGGCATCAAGCCTGTCTGTACTCTCATTCTATAAGCACTTAGTTATGCATCTGTTACATGCATAGCATCTCAATGAAAGCTCCTACAATTTGGGACTTGAAGGTCATATAATGACCCTGGATATACAAAAAGAGGCATTAATGGGGTGTAGGGGTGCATGTCAGTAATACCATTACTTGGGAGGTTGAAGCAGGAGGACTGTCAGTTGTAAACTAGCATGGACCACATAGCTAGCTTTAGGCCATCCTGTCTACACAATGTGATTGTGAAAATTAATGTTTGTGAGCTTGACAGAACTTGGAATCACCTAAGAGACACATCCCTGGGCACGTCTTCAAGGACACCTCCAGAGAGGATTAACCAAGGGGGAAGATATACTCACAGAGTGGGGGGACCTTCCAGTGGGCACCGTTAGGTGCAAGGGGACACAGTGTTGCCTGTCTGCCTGTGCTCCTCCTGAGCCAGTGTGTCTCCACCACCAGGGCCACCGTCCTCTGCTGCCCCTAGACTGTAGCTTTGGCCTTCCAACACAAACTAAACACCAGCAACCCTCCAGGAATCTCGAAGGCCTTCAGTACCAGCTACTGAGTATCCGTCTTCATGAATCAAGACGCTACCAGATTCTCTGCCTCTGCAGAGACAGCCATTGTTGGACTACCCAGCCCCTATCACATAAGCCATAATCAACACCCTTATTGTGTATGTGTGTGTGTGTGTGTGTGTGTGTGTGTGTGTGTTTCAGTTCTGTTACTCTAGATCACCATACTTAGTAGAGAGTCTACCTTAAACTAATAAAGTGGGATACATGTTAGTTGTACATTGCTGTAATAAAATACCTGAAGCAGATTTTCTAGAGCGGTTTATTCAGTTCATGATTCTGGAGGTTCAGAGTCAAGACTGGTGGGTTTTACTGGCTTGATGTCTGGTGAGGGTCTACTGGCAGACAATGCCACGTTCGTGGGAATGTGTGGGAGGAAGAAATCACATCTCCAAAAGGAAGCCAGAGGACAATCCAGTGGCTAAGTTCACTCTTACAACTCACTCTCCAGAAAGTTCAGGGTCCCGTGGGAACCACCTTAATCCTTGGAGAGCAACTCTCCTAATGACCTTGGAATCTTCCATTAGGCCCTCCCCTCTAAAAGGTCCACTCTGTCTCTCAATGTCCCTACCCTGGGGATCAACCTTTCAACACATGAACCCATAGGGAACAAACTACGTCCAAACCACAGTAAATCCCAAGTCATAAAAATCATTTTCATGTTTTCTCAGCATACTGAACTCCTATGTGCTAAGTACTGTCCCAGACACTAAAGATATGGGATGAAGGAAACAGTCAACAAAATGATGACAAATTGTGATAAATAAGCCAGCTGTAAAGTGCTTGCCTTGCAAGCAAGAGGATCTGAGTTTGATTCTCAGAACCCTTGTTAATAAAAAGCTGTGTGTAGCCAGGCGTGGTGGCACACGCCTTTAATCCCAGCACTCAGGAGGCAGAGGCAGGTGGATCTCTGTGAGTTCAGGCCAGCCTGGTCTACATAGTGAGTTCCAGGACAGCTGGGGCTACAGGAAAACCTGTCTCAGAAAAACCAAAAAAAAAAAAAAAAAAGCTGTGTGTAGTGGAACATTCTTGTAATCCCAGTGCTAGGGCAACAGAGACCAGTGGGTCCCTGGGGTTCACTGACCAGCCAGTCTAGCCTCCTTAATGAGTTCTAGGTCAGTGAGAGTCTGTCTCAAAAAAAAAAAAAGGTGGATGGCACTAGAGGAATGCCAGCCAAGGTTGTCTTCTGGCCTCCACACACATGCACACATCTCTTTACACACATGTGCATACATAAATACATACATGAACACATACATCTACACATGCATAGAATATTTTTATATATTATAATAAATGAACTGAGGAGATGGCTTAATCACAAGCCATCTGAGTTTGATTCCCAGAACATATGTTTAAAAAAAATAAAAGACGGTGATTTGCATTTGTAATCCCTGTGCTGAGAGAAAGAGACTGAAGGATTTCTGGGGCTTCCTGGCCAGCAAGTCTAGCCTACTTGACAAGTTCCAGGCTAGTGAGAGACCCTGTCTAAAAAAAAAAAAAAACCATGGTAGACAGAGATAGAAGAAGGACACTCTGGCTTCCATATATATGTGCATACATATTCACATGCATACACACACAGACACAAATACATATGCATACACACCAGCACAAGTGTGTACATATTTGTACATGCACACACAGAAAATTAGAAGATGCTTTGATAAAAATCTAAAGGAAAAATAACCCACCTCAGGGGCTAGAGAGATGGTTCAGTGGTTAAGAGCACATATTGCTCTTACAGAGGACCCGAGTTCAGTTCCCAACACCCACATCAGGTGGCTCACAACCCCCTTGTATTAGTTAAATTTTCTGTTGCTGTGATAAAACACCATGACCCAAAGCAACTTATGGAAGCAGAGAGTTTGTTTATGGTTCCAGAGGGATAGGAATCCATCATGGCAGGGAGGCATGAAGCTGAGAGTATACATTTTCAACTGTAAACACCAAGCAGGAGAGACCTTGAAGTGGGCAAGGCTATGAATTCTCAAAGCCTGCCCTAGTAACACACTGTTTCCAACAAGGCCATGCCTCCTAACAGTGTAACCTCCCAAACTGTGCCACCCACTGGGGGCTAAGTGTTCAAATCCTTGAGCCTGTGAGGGACATTTTTCATTCAAACCACCACACCCTTGTAACTCCAGTGCTTGGAGATCCAATACCTTCTTCTGGTGTCTAAGGGGAACTGTACTGACATGCAGAAATGCACGAAAAGGTAAAGAACCTCATATGCACTTCTCTCCCTGGAAGAGGGAAGCCGCTGGCTCAGCTGTACCTACCCCAATCCCCCTTGGCAGCAACTAGGTCTACACGGGTCTAGCATCCTTTCCTTAGATTTAGTAAACGTGATGGACTGCCAGGAGTTGACAGAAACTGTAGGTATTCTCTACCCTCTCCAGCTTTTCAAGAAGCCTCAGTCTACATCTTCCTTCTTGTCCCCAGGGAGGCTGTCGCTGGTCAACCTGTGGCATCAGGATTAGCCTCCAGGTGTCTTAAGATATATTCCAGTGTCTGCCAGGTGCTGAGCTGTATGCTTTTCTGGAGTTTTCCAAGATGAGCCCTTGCTCTGAAGGAACTCGTGATCTAGGGAAGGGAC